GGTCTCCCGCCCTGTGGGGGCCTGGCGGGGGGGCCCCAGGGGGCCCCCCTGGGGGGCCCCCAGGGGTGCCCCCGGGGGCCTCCTGGCTGTCTTGGCGTGCTGCAGCTGCCTTGTCAAGGGCCCCCAAAGCCTTGGGGCCCACAAGGGCCCCCAAGGGGGCCGCCAGCAAACGGCACAACAGAGACACAAGACATGCTGCTGCTTCTGCTGCTGCTTGCTGCACTGAGGGTGGCCCCTCGTAGTCCAGCAGGTCCAGCAGCGAAGGCAAAACGTGAGACACAAACGACTCCAGAAGCTGCAGCGCAGCAGTAGCAGCAGCAAAGGCACCAGCAGCAGCAGCAATGGCATGCCGGAAAGAGACTCCCCAGGCAATGTAGTGCTGCACTGAACCGTTGGCCAGGCCAAGCGCTAAACCCTAAACCCTAAATCCTAAACCCTAGCCCTTGAGCACTAAACCCCTCGGCTTTGGAACTCTGTCGGGTTCTGTTCGGACTTACAGGAGGCTGCTGCAGCTGGGACTGTTGCGGCTGCTGCTGCTGCTGCTGCTGCCTCTTCCACTCGTTTGCTGCTGCCAGCTGCATTACAAGGGGCTCCAAAAGGGGCCCCACCTTTGCTGCGTCCCCGGCGGGTTTCTCAGATTCGCCCCAGCCGTCAGTGTCCCCAAACAGCAGCAAATGGAGAATGCAGCAGCACTGCTGCAGCAGCTGCAGCTGCTGCACTGTGTTTTCGTTTTGCTGCTGCTGCTGCAGGTCGCTGCCCTCTCCCTTGGCGTTCAAGATGGACGCACTCCGGTTGCCGCTGCCGTCCTGCAGCAGCAGCAGCAGCAGCCCTAGAGCTCCAATAACCGTAGCAGCGACAGAGTAGCAGCAGCAGCCGCAGCAGCAGCCCAGCAGCAGCACAGCAGCAGCACGGCAGCAGAGGCGGCTCACAGTGAGGTCGTGGATTTGCTGCAGCCAGAAGTTGCAGCAGCAGCTAAAAAGCTGCATCAGCAGCCCGATGTGGTTCTCCCCGTCAGCAACAGCAGCAGCAGCAGGGGATAACCCCTCTAGCTGCAGCATGCTGCTGAGCTGCAAGGCTTGCTGCTGCGCACTAGACAAGGCTGAGACTTCTCCAGTACCCAGAGGGGCCCCCGGGGGGCCCCCTAGGGCCCTTTCCCTCCTTAGCCACGGGGGCAGCAGCCGCAGCAGCAGCGGAAGCGCCAGTGCCATTTGGGGCCCCCGAGCACCAGCAGCAACAACCACGCGGAGTGTGTGGATGGCTAGCTGCAGCAACAGCAGCAGCAGCAAAGCGGCGCCGCAAGAGCTACAGCAGCAGCAGCGACAACAGCGCCGGGGGCAACCAGAGAAGCAGCAACACGACAAAAGATATTAACAGCAGCAGCAGCAGCAGCACTAACGCGAGCAGCAGCGCCGCAGGGACACGATCAGAAGCAGCAGCAGCATCAGCAACAGCAGCAACAGCATTAGTAACGCGAGCAGCAGCGCGGCAGGGACACCAAAAGAAACAGCAACAGCAGCTGCAGCATTAGCAACGCGAGCAGCAGCGCAGCGGGGACACGGACAGCACCAGCAGCAGCAACAGCAGCAGCAGCAGCAGCTTACATCAGGCAAAGACAGGGTGAGGCGGGGCAGCCGCAAAAGAAAGACCGACACGAGGCGAAGGCCGTCAGAGCGCGTGCGGCTGGC